TTTTGCTAAGCTTTGAAATCTTGAATAATACCATATTATGCAAGGAAAGAATAATAATAATTTTACTGTGCATAATAATACAAACGAAATAGAAATTACTTTTCAATAAACCAATTTATTTTGGCTGAATAAGTCGTAGTCGTCTACGTGGCTCTCGTAGCAATCCGTAGCCGTAGCCGTAGCACGTAGTACGGTGCTAAAGATTTCAACGGCTTCTTGAGCAGATGCAATTAAATTAAATTAATTATTTTAATTAAGAATACAGTATTTACGTTTGATATAATCTTTTAACAATCCCTATATTGAAAAAAATTGCTTAATTATTGTGACAGCAAAATAATCATGAATTTGTATCAAAAGTTTTTAAATATCCAGTCCTTGGCAATGATTTTAGGATTTGGGCAACCATCTGATTTTAATTATGTATTTAAATAATAGAAAGATAAGATTGACTTTTAGAGAAACACGGTCTCAGAATTCCATAGTGATAAATAATTTGGTTGCATTTGCATTCATCCTGCAGTAAGGCGCTCCGAAGTCGTTGAGGCACTTTTGTACAAAATACTCCTTTTGTACCAATTTTTTTCTTTACCAATAATTTAGTTGCAATGGTAAATAATGGTAATCATGACGATCGGTCAAAAGAGAGATGCAGGTTATGGCGCGAGAGAGCTGATCTCCCCTGCCCTTTTGTCCCTATGTCTGAGAGTCCTCCACCTGGACATGAGCTCCCCTGGCTTACCTGGAAGTCTTTAAATAGACTTCGGACGCAGGTTGGCCGTAGTAAGGACAATCTGGCCAGGTGGGGATTCTTGGATGGCTTGAACATGGAGTGCGGGTGCGGTTTTGTTCCCCAGTCGATGAGGCACCTGATGTCATGCCCTGAGTGCCCAAGCAACTGCACTCAGGAGGATTTGATGAGTGCTACTGACAACGCCACTCGTGTGGCGGAGTTTTGGGCTGACACTGTGTAGGTTTGTTGTCGACACGAAAAGAAGAAGATGGTCGTAGGCACTCGCGAAAGCGTTGAAGTGCAAATTTTGGTACTAAGCTAGTACCAAAGTAACTACTAAGTGTGATAGACTAGTCTTGTCCCTGTTGTCTCATTTCATCTAATATGTAGAGAAAGGGACTGTCTAAACTCAGAATGCCATCTCGATAAATAATTTAGTTGCAATGGTCGCGCCGTAAGGCGTTTCAGAGCTTTAGCAGCTTCGAAGCGCACCCGTACAAAATATCATAATTTATGTATAGTTCCAAAATGCTGAACTGTCCCTTGCATGACATTGACAGTGGGGCGCCACCGTCAATACCGGATCGCTAGTTCCGATTTTTGCCATGTTGGAAACCATATAGTTGAACGATGGTAGCGCCCCCTGTCATTGAGTTTGGTGGGACAGTTCAGCGTGGGTCATCTATACTATGCATTAGTGTGACTAAACTTGTCTTGTCCCTGTTGTCCCTTTCTGTCTATTATATTTAGAGAGAGACAGTCCAATCCAACTCAGAATGCCATCTCGATAAATAATTTAGTCGCAATGGTCGCGACGTAATGCACTTTCGAGCTTTAGCAGCGTCGAAGCACACTCGCACAAAATGTCATAATTTAGGTAATACGCATTAGTGTGATTAAACTTGTTTTGTCTCTGTTGTCTCTTTGTCTATTATATTTAGAGAGGGACAGTCCAATTCAGTATTCCATCTCTAATTTAACTGCAGCAATGGTTGCGACGTAAGGCGCTTCGGAGCTTTAGCATCGTCAAAGCACACTCGTACGAAATAGCATAATTCAAGTACTAAGACTATTAACTTGTCTTGTCCCTGTTGTCTCTTTCTGTCTATTATATTTAGAGAGGGACAGTCCAATTCAGAATTCCATCTCGATAAATAATTTAGTTGCAATGGTCGCGTAAGTCGCTCGGAGGCGTCGAGGCGTGGTGCGTCTGCCTCGGGCGCCGCCCCGCGCATCCTATCTCCCGCCCCCGCTCCCCGCCAGATAAACACACTGTTTACACTAATTGATTAGAATCAGATTACTATTAGTTTGGCTCAACTCAGGTACGAGCACTTATAATCGCTTGAATTAAGATTAACAACCAGACAGCACTTCAATTAATAAAGTCATTGCAATTTGATATCTCTGTGATAATCAACTCAAATGAATCTTCAAGTGCTAAGCTAGACCGAAGATTAGAAAAATCTGCGACTGGTTTTTTTTTTTCAATATTGTTTTGAAATGCTGATACTTTAATTTATTTAAGAAACATTAACAGAGCGTGACGAATAAAATAATTTAGCCTAATAAAAATCGATGCACTATTTCTGATTGGAATTATTAATTATGTTGACAAGAAAATCAATTTCTTAGGTTTCTTTGTTGAATCAAATTTTAATTGCAGTGTTTCATCTTTAGATCAAACTACGGAATTCACTTGTCTACTAACTCCAAAACTCGATTATTCGCTGCCATTTGATTCAAACCGAAAAAATGGAAATGTAGCTCAAGTTTACACAATACCCTCAGACCCAAACACTTTAACAGTCAACTCCTTTCTTGGAAGTCGATCGAGAAGCCAAAAGTTAGCCTAATACGGGTTAGTTCAAAATTACCTAATCTGTTTAACGATTCAGCTACCCGGGGCAAACACCGAAGAAACTCCAGGCCAAATTTACAATACGGTTTAGCTCTCAATAAAGCATGGAGTGTGCTCAATAGGGTGGTTACGTATGCACAGCCGATCCGGTGCACCGTACAATAGAATTTGGGCATTCTCCACGCTCCGCTTTTAAAACAATGGGAGCATAGGGACTGTTGCAGTTCGGAGTTTAGTAGATTAATTTGAAACTGAATGATGTTTGTGTTAATTAATAAGAACAAGCAATACAAGAAGCAATTAACCTTATCTCAAGACTTTTCATCAGCTTTACTGTTTTAACAAATGGGTGTAGCAAAATAAAATTGAAATAATTTTACACCGACGACCTGATAAAGGTAGCAGGAAGACGCTGGATGCAGGCCGCTACCAACCGTGCGATGTGGGAGGCCTATGTTCAGCAGTAGACGTCCTGTGGCTGAAATGATGATGATGATAAATTTTACACCTAAGATTTAAAATCTGCTAAGAAATTACTAAATATTTTTATACGTTACAATCTATCAATCCTCTAAAGCTACCCCACCCTAATTGAAATTAATATTTCATAACAGTGGTTTCTAATAAAATCGTTTCAGGGATTGGTTAAGTTCGTAGTAGACTATACTTTTTTAATTTTAACCTTTTCGATTTATTAATAAACTAAGTAACCCAGGTTGTTGTTCATAAAAGAAAAAATGGTCTTGTGTCTAATATTTAATTTAAGACAAAACAGTGTTTTAGTTGAAACAGTGTTACAAATTTTTTCATGATGTCAGATTACAAAAATTCTGTTCATGACATTCATCTAACACTCACCCAGCAAAACCCGAACCAAATTCAATAAGGCCTTACTTATTGTGATACGAATCTGCCTCATTCACTCGACATCTTAGTTTCGCCCATTGATAGTGTTGAGGGCTTTATTTCCAACGCGGTCCCTGATTGCCAATGAAAACGGCAAACGAGTTAAGCCAAACACAATGTGCCATACAAAAGAACAGACTAATCTCATTGCGGGCCAAACAATCGAAGACGACGCCGCCCTCTGCCTGCCGGTGGCGGTCATATTTGCCGCTCGAGTGCCGCAAAATGAGCCCGATAAGTGAGAAAACCCCCTCATTCGTTTAGCGAAAGTTAATGGCGCTTTTGTGGCCCGCCCGACTCTTGTAATGCAATTAACTCCTACAATAGCCGTATCGCTTACGAATTAATTTTAAAGCTCGCTTTAATACTACGGCCCGGATGGAAGTGACAATGATTTTTGTAAGTGGGCGGCTCGGCCTTTTTATTACATAAATTCGTCCTGAATAAATTGGTTGGGGGTGGATACCTACTACGTCTTATTTTAATAATGCGATAAATTCGGTGCCCGAGATTAAAAACGTAATATCTCTTGACTTCAAGGAATATCTAAATCAAAAGAGAAAAAGAAGTCAAAATCCACCAACCTAAAATAACAAAGGCACATAAAAACCTACAAGGTTTACTAAATTGGAATGTAGGTATTTGTAAAGATTCCCGGGAGCGCTCTGCATCGCGGTATATGAATAAGTTATTGTGCTACTTGTAATGCGGAATATTAATATTAAAATGCAATCTTGTTCGCACAAATATGAAACTAAGCGTGGCGAGTTTCTGAATGGAATAAGATGTGGGGCTGTTTGTATTGTGATGTTCGGCGTTGTCCACTGTCAATTGGCCGTCAGGCGTGAGGCCGTGGATCATGTGGAAGAGTGGTCCTTATTTCCTTGTTGGGACGTCTTAGGTGTGCGTATCTGCGACCACCCGCAGCGGCACTTGTGCGCGGCCACTCGAGTGGAAGCCCCGGCCTACCCAGAAACATCAATGGTTACTCCAACGCACACAAAGTGTTTTTTGTATCGCGCATTGATCCGGTAGCTAGGTCGCTTGGAAATTGGGTCGATAGCATTGTCCGGGCGGGCACTATTATGCGGCATTAATCGTTCGTTTACAGCTTAACTGATGCATCTATGTTACATCTTTTGAGGTGCGATTTCACACTGATGTTGCCGGACATAGCAATAACTTAAGTTGCTTGTTCGCTGTACAACAACATTTAGACCATGACAATTGATCGGGCATTCTTTTTTGCTGACAGAAGGTTGGCTTCTGAACAATTGAATAATACGACTACTTGTTCTGTATTGGAAAATAATAAAGCAATAATAAACTCATTACAAGTAGGCAAACTATAAAGTGAAATACTCGACTGGTTTAAGTAATGCTTTCAATACAGATTTCATTATAGATTTTGCGACATCCATGTCAGAATGTGCAATGGGTAAATTTTTCAATTAGAAAAAACTATAGGTATACCTACTCATATAACATTTTCATCCCCAGGTATGGTTTAAAAACCGGCGAGCGAAATGGAGGAAGCAGAAGCGGGAAGAACAAGAGCGGCTACGGAAACTCCAAGAGGAGCGAGTGTGCGGGAGGGCGCCTCTGCTGGTCCGAAGCGCCCTGTCTCCCGCGCACTCGCCCGCGGAGCATGCGCCGGCGCCGCCCACGCCCAGGCACTATACCGACGACTCGGAGTCAGACCTGGAGGTCGCCTGAGTGATGGTACACCTAGGAAGCGAGCCATACTCTCACTTGACGACAAAGAGCCAACGGCAGCGACTAGCGAGCCACTGGACTTGATAACATGATCATGACTGGAGAAGAACGTTGAAAGCGATTTGTTTCAAGCCACAACACAATGTTACATTATTTACAGATAACTTAGCCATGAAGGCTATATGTTGAATATTGCTGTGCCGTACATATCTGGATATATGGTTGCAGCTGAACGATGCATAATAACTCCGGTTAGACAACACAGTGCGTCGAAATAAGACGATAAGGAATATCCCGTAATAATTTTGGAAAATGAATACTCGACAATTAATCAAAATTAAATAAATTCTTTAAGAATAAGTTTGTGGCCTGATATTTTTGATAAGATGGAGGACAATAAACAGAAGAATGGTCTGATCTTAAATTTGAAACAATTAACCAAGTAATAATGGATCTGTGAAACAAAATGCTTTTCTCAACTTACTCCAATATGCCGGTTCGTTGGATGACACAAAATAACACGTTCGATAATTATTTATAGGCGCAATATAGTGATGGTGAAAGTGATGGGACGGTTGAAATCGCGAGTGCTTTCTTCATGGTGTATTTATTGTGTGACGCGCTATTTGGACATTATTGGACTTTCATTACACCTTATGACAATATTTTCGATAGAACAAGCAAAATTAACATTGTTTATTTTGAATGCATTCAAATCAATTTGTTTAACGGTGTAATATCTTCTACGGTTCATGAAGTTTATTTTCTGTCACAAAACAAGGTTAGGGGGATATTTTATCATACGATTTTCTAATACTATGTCAAGTTGTAAATCAATATACGTAATAAATAAGTACAATATTACAAAGTCATCACATAATCTCTAAGGATAATATTAAATTAATTTATCGTAAAAGATTGTATCTATAAATGTTTAGAAATAAATGTAGGTATCTAGTTGTAGCTTTCTACTTTATAATTAGTAGGTTTTTGGATAATGTTACGTTGCATCATTCAAATTTATTTAAAAATGCGACATTTAATTTGTACATGAAGGAAATTAAAGGATTGGCTTTTATTAAATTAAGATACTAACAATCATTAACGACTAGTTAATCCATCACTTATTCTAACGTATTATACTTTATCTGTATCAAATTAAGTATACCTATTAACTTACGTATGTGGCGTACTTTTAAGCACAAGATTATATATTTGTATTGTTTCATTTTAAATGTTGTAACTCGTAGTAAAATTAATTTTAACATGTCAGTCGAGTATTTCGAGGGCTTAATTTAAAACAAACTAATCAAACATGTTTTTTTCCTTTTAATCACTATACAAGTCTTAAGGGGCGCTACACAAACAAGCGAGTCGTCTAGCCTCAGCACAACCAAAACACAAAATCGAAAAGAACGCTCTTACTCGACTAGGGCTGATTTTAACATCGTCGGATAACTTTTAACTGAAGAACTTGTCATATTGGCATAATATTTTCCATACTGAAACTGTCAATGTGCCAAATTTTTTCTTCAGATTTATGAGTTATCCGACGATGGTTAAATCAGCCCTTAGCTGTACTACATACATGGGGATACATTTTCAATAAACAAGTATGTACCTACCTACCTACTTATACCCGCACTGGCCGACCCGCTTATGTGTAGTGCCCCTTATTTATCATTAGCTCGTAGCTACTGTAAAATACTAGGTATTAAAGCATTTGAGGTGAAAGTTATGCAATGAAGTAAATTGTAGGTCTTTGTATCATTCCAAATATCATCCATGACAAATATAATGTAAACATAGTTTACTAAGCAAATAAATGTGGATCACTTGCTTATCTGATGCACAATGATTAAATAACTACCCTCAAACAAATTGCGAAGTTAAGAGATCATTAAAGCAAATTCAAAATTGAATTCGAAACCGTTGCAATAGAAGTATGTATATGATTAATGTACTTAATAATAACAAGCTCTAATAAAAGTCATAGTACAATATACTTAAAGATATCTGTATTTTTCTTTGATAAATGCATACCTATTCTTCATTTTCCCACTAAGTAATGCCAAAAAATTAATAATTTTAAACGATGTATAACTCTTGCCGATTGCCTTGTGCAACCCGTGCAAGTGCAAATCAATCAGCTGCAGTCGCATTTGTAGTCCAAGGGCTGCTGTGTAATTTGTTTAATAATTGTCAATGTATAAAAATATTTCTACTTACTGTATTATAAAAACCTATGTATCAGAATTTATTATGAAGTCATGTCAACAGAGTATGGTAAGTATGATCCAGAATCAAACCGATAATGGTGTTTGATTAAAATACAAAAAATACGTACAATCGAACATAGAACCTCCTCCTTTTTTTAAAGTCGATAAAGAATACGTTGTTTAAATAGGCTCAAAGAAGAAATATAAGCTATAATGTAAGTAGACGACCGCCATATAGTGGGACCCACGCCTACAATTTGTGATTTTCTAGAATCCTGACTTAATAAGTATTTACCACCAAAAAAGCTCATGTTAAATAAAAAAAAAGTCTTACGTTTTAGATTGTATAAACTGCCTTCGTGCTCAAAATGCCAACTAACGTTTTTATTAATAGACTGACGGAAACTTCCAATTGTTTGAATTATTATCAGGTCAAACTTGAATGTCGATCAATGTTATGAATGTTCCCACAAGTACTTGCATTGTCCTGTCCAAAAGGATTCACACCGGCATACAAATTAGGGGGAAAACGCGTGAGACCTCGCGAATACCATGTGGGTTATGTCACGTCTATGTCATATCACATGCTAGGCCACCATGGACCTAAAAAGGTGTATACTAGGCCACAATGATCTATAGGAACATGCCCTCGCCATGACACACTAGATTTAATTAGAATAGATGTCAGTTAACGCAAGTTTAATATTCAAGTAGCCAATATTAATTCTACTGCCTACAAGACCAAACCAAATATGACTAAAGTAACCTATTTACGAAACTACCTACTTAGGCTGGGTTGCACAATCTTATTTTGACTATAACAAACGTCAAAAATCTGTCAAACTCCATACAAAATACCCCGGTTATTGTTATAGTTTCGGTTAAAGTCAGGTGGTGCAGTTACTAAAATAACACATTATGACACTACCCTCGTATGTTTGTTTAAAATAATGTCTTTGCTTATCTAACTACTTACTGGGTCAAGAAAGAAGAATATTAAGATCTTAATTAGATCATGTATTGATTTTGTGTATTGTGTATGTCTAACTTTTAGAAATTTTGATTGAGATGTTAAAATAGCCAAAGTTCACGAATTAGCTACCTAAACAAGTAAGATACTGCATCTTTCACTACAAAATTCAGGTAAAATAATAGAAAGTTAAACGATTAATATTATTTATTTACAAAGAAGTAAACATTACATAATTAACAGAGGCGGTAGATAGGTCTAAGATAATTATGTTGTATTGTTCAATATATTTGAAAATACATACAAAATACTTTTTTTTTTTTCAAGATATACACAGATCTTTTTAAATATTCATTATACGCGAGTACCTACTTATGAAGAACAATATACAATCACAATCACAACCAAGGTGAAGAAATTATAAAATGATGATCACATTACCACTGTAAGTTTAAATGATAAACAATGAGTAATTAAGTTACACATTTGGTCACAAAAACATGCCGTACTGGTTATCCGCAATCACAAAACACTCAACACTCAGGTGTTACTTGTAGTAGAAGGGGTAGGAATATGCGTAGGCGTAGGGGTAGGAGTACGTTAGGGGAGCGGCGTAGTACGAAGGGGCGTAGTACCCGTAGTCCAGGAGCACCTGGGGCTTCGCCAGGGCCGGTGCCAGCAGCACCGCCGCGAGCGCCAGGAATATCACCTGTGGGCAAAAAGACTTACATTTACGTTTTTATTCCTGAGAAAACTTTGGAAAACTTATGAAACACAAAAGATCCGAAAAACAGAATATCCTTCCATTTAAGTCTAAGCCTACGTACTTACCTATAAGTTAGACTTCTTACAATAGATTAATGCTTATTGATTTGTAATGCTCTTCAATTATGAATCCTTGGGTCTTCCATCGTAAAAAATTGTGATGATAAAAATAAGGAAATGTTTTTCGAATAAGTAGGTAATTACTTAATAAAATGTGGACCTTTTCAATGGGATATAATTTGTTAGTCGTCACGAGTTGGGTAATTCTTTCATCACAATCGGAATTATTTATGCTAATAAATAGACCAAAACTAAAAAAACAACGTTGTGAAGACAGTTGCGCTCAGAAACATGAAGAACCTAAATAATTTAGGTAACTAAGCCTATAAGTCAAGACAGTTAAGTAAAAACACTTTGAAAGATGATTGCGAAGTTGTATCATTTTAATTGAGACAGTATCAAACTCACCAGTTTGTACATGTTGCGTCAAATCACAGATGCTGCACTGCAACAGGAGTCAATTCTTCGTCAGCTGCGAAGCGAGTGCCAGCCTCTCCTGCCGCGTTCGCTTATATACCCGCTCCATGATCCTGTGTCCCGATCGTGCTCAGAAAAACTAATCGGCTCGTCCTCAAGTGTAAACAATGTCGCATTATCCGTTAATAGCGCATCATTTCCATATCGGACCCGGATCACGGATCACAATACACACAATAGAGCAACGCGGCCCGCTCGCAGATTGATGTTATAAAAAAGTTGACAATGAACGCGACATCAATATGCGTGAACAAGATGTATTGCCGAATTAGAAGAATCCAGAATGTTTCTGGTTTTCCGAATGACTTATTTTAATTATGTTTTATTCATTAATGTATTACCTACATGTCAGGTACAGGATCTACATATTTCTTTGATTTCTATCTAATCATAATGCGGACATCTAAAGGGCAATATCAAATTTGTAGTAGGTGTAGGTAGGTAGACGTTTTGTGAATAAAAAAATCATTTAAGCTTTTTATACGAGAAACCTCCGTTTCTCGCAATTGGAAAAACTACGCGCTTTTTTATTCAACTCGTTTACTTAGGTAAGTAGGACTTATAAGGCATACTTATAAGGCCTTATTTTTTAACAACCACTCCTTCGGCACATTTTTGTAACCTCACCTTTTCTTGTGGTTATTTTCCGTTAAAATATCGGGGCTTCATGCCCGATGGAGTGGTGGCGTGGTGAGCTGGTGAAATCTTTGTCCAGGGTTTGATACAAATAAATTTTTGTTTAAGATCAATATTCTTATAACAGAACATTACGTATTAATTTAATACTAGTTTTTCTCCTTGACAAGTTATAGTACCTACTAAGCCAACTTTCCTTCTCATAGATCGCTCCATCTTTAGAGTGATTGGAATACTTGCTCGATCTTTGGTTTCAACGAGACACAATTTCAACGGGACACATTTTCAATCAGACACATTCCCACGTGGACACATCAATTATTGTAACATCAGTTAAATGTTTTAATGAAAAAAAAAAGGTGCAGTCCTGTTGTCCCCCCTGCTTGGCCCCCCTGGGGGAGCCAACAGGATTTCGAAATCCTGTTGTCCCCCCTGGCTAGGGGAGACAACAGGACTAGATTTTCAATCAATGATATGAGGACTGTTGTCCCCCCTGGCAAACATTATTTAAAAGTCATGTGTTTTTATAAAATAATTTGTGCTGAAGTACTTGAATGAATGCCAAATTCCCAAAATGAGTGAATACCTAAACGTTTGTTAAATAATAATTACCATTTTGATAACGAAAAAAATAAGGTTGGTGCCGGTACTGACACCTACAAACTTGAAAGGCAGGTAGGTTCCTTATAGGGTGTAGACATCTGCCAAGAACGAATTTTATTTATCTATTTATTTATTTAAGGATAGGAAATAATACGAAACTTATAATAGGATTTTACGAAATTCCACACATAAGGGGGTAAAACGGAGTCCACGCGTAGGTACGAATATGCGGGCGGCCGCTAGTTGAATGATGAATCACTGAGCAATTAATTTGTTGAATATTATGACTAATTTAAAATTATGCAGTTTTAGCGTCCTACCTACTAATATTACAAATGGGAGTATGGAATAGTATAGATGTTTGATACTCTTTCACGTAAAAACTACCTACTACGGATTTTTAGTCAACTTTACAGAAGACAATATTTTTTATAAAAAATATTGTCAAGCATTATACTTAGCTTTTGCCCACGGCTTTGTCCGCATAAAATTTTGTCTGTTTAAAAACCAGGACTCGACACTCAAAACTATCTCTTTACCAAATATCAAAATCGGTTCAATGGTTTATGCGTGAATTCATATCAGACAGACAGATAACGTACTGTCGCATTTACTCGTATAATATTATTTAGGCCCAGTTTTTTTATTCATAGTTAAAATAACTAATTGTTAAATTTTGCTACTAATGGTTAAATAATACAATGTAAACAAATAGTTAAAAAATGTACTAAAAGTCAAGCTAACCATTATTCGAAAAACATTTTTTTCAGATATTTAACCACTTGTCATTTGTCATCCGGGCCTAAGGCCCGGTTTTTTGATTCGTAGTTAAAATAACTAATAGTCAAATTTGACAGATGTCAAATGACAAGTGGTTAAATATCAGAAAAAAATGTTTTTCGAACAATGGTTAGCTTGACTTTTAGTACATTTTTTAACTATTTGTTTACATTTTGTTAATATTTAACCATTAGTAGCAAAATTTAACAATTAGTTATTTTAACTAAGATTCAAAAAACTGGGCCTAAGTAGGGATAATTCATAACTATCTGTTAAAAGCAAGTAAAGCAGATTTTGGAATAGTCAGAAATATTACCGGTACCAACTTATATTTCTTTCGTTAACGAGATGTTAATTATTATTTGACATACGTTTAGGTATTTCATTTGTCAATATGGCATTTAGTCAGGTAGGTACTCCAGTACTTCTTTAATGTTACAAAAATATATGGCTTCTAAATACCCAATGTTTGCCAGGGGGGACAACAGTCCTCAAATCAGTGATTGAAAATCTAGTCCTGTTGTCTCCCCTAGCCAGGGGGGACAACAGGATTTCGAAATCCTGTTGGCTCCCCCAGGGGGGCCAAGCAGGGGGGACAACAGGACTGCACCAAAAAAAATTGTTAATTGTCATGGGTATGTATTCGTCTGCCGTTTGGTGTAGTGGTTCAGAACGGACTACTATGCCGAGAGGTCCCGGGTTCGATTCTCGGCCGGGCAGAAATTGAAATGATGCATTTTAATTTCTGTGACCGGTCTGGGTGTTAGACTATCTATACTTATAATAAATCTGTAGAGTCAATTCTGTACATGAAATATATTTTCAAAATAACTACCAGGGGGTGATTAGTGATCGATACTGATGCCAAAAATGCAATCAGTAAAATTTTTGTCTGTCTGTCTGTATGTTCCTTATAGAAACAAAAACTACTCGACGGATTTTAACGAAACTTGGTACAATTTCACTGGTCAACACATGTTTTTNTGTTTGAAAAAGTGGTCAATTCAGTAAAATTTTCTCTGTCCGAAAAACAGAAGACCGATCTTAAAACATTTTGTGCTACATATACCAGTAATCTTAAGCGAAAATGGAAATCTGCCAACAGCACACTGGACAATTTTAAGGTGAAGTTCGCTGGCTGGTTGGATTCAGAAATTAAATGGCCGGACTTTGTTGTAATAAACGAAGAAATATCTTATATGATGTTGGATAGTGAACTTTCAACTCCTAGTACATCATCCAGTCCTAATGTTCCTCGTAATGTCTCTGTGTCGACATCTACCACTCCATTTAGAGCTCGAAAAAGTTTTGAAGATCTAAGTCCCCTTCAAAAAAAGAANGAGTACATGAAGTGTATTTTTATGCCCATGTTGCACCCTAGCTCTTGCAAGTTGGATAGCATGCTCTCAACAATTTCTTTTTGCTTAGGAAATTACTTATAAGCAAAAAAAAAATTCTAAGCTTAGGACTGGACTTCAGTCATTGAATTCTTAAAATTACGATCATTTACCAGTTGCCTAATGTGAGTCCCATCAAAAATTACCAACATTCAAGTTTTCTGTGCTTAATCCTGAAAACTTTCATGAAGGAAAATTATAACATTCGTTACGTTAAGCGCCTTCACAGACTGTTTCAAGATGCCAAGGTTAATATAAAGTGGTGGAAGTACGGTGATACGGTCTTGGCTAACTAAAGGCATGTTTATAAAATAGTTTGTATCAACTTTAGCTGAAAAGCAAAAAGTTGTGTGTGCGGGAAGCCGCACTCGATCACAACGGAATTCACGCGTACGAAGTCGCGGGCGGCCGCTAGTCTTTCCATATCTATGTGCGGAAACGTCACGAAATCTGAATTTTAGCTAACCTCCTAACCCCTCATAAAAGCCAAGCCAAGCCAAGGATCAACAATAATAATAATAAATACACTTTATTGCACACCAGAATTGCTAAAACCAAGTGGCAGTGGGCGGGGCACATAGCTCGTAGAGACGATGGCCGTTGGGGAAGAAAAGTTTGGCGACCACGGGCTGGAAGACGTAGCGTGGGCAGGCCTCCTACTAGGTGGACCGACGATCTCGTAAAGGTCGCGGGAAGAGCCTGGATGCGGGCAGCGCAGGACCGTGCATTGTGGAAAACCTTGGAGGAGGCCTTTGTCCAGCAGTGGACGTCATTTGGCTGAAACGAACGAACGAACGATTGCACACCAAAGATAAGAACAGAAAGAAAAGGAACACACAAGGTACAACTAGGTGGTCTTATCGCTATGAAGCAAGTAAATTTTATTGATTGGTCTATGTTATGTTTAGGTTATTTTATTGATTTAAGGAAAGTACGCGAAGATGCTTATTTCTGTTCAATTTAGTTTTTAATTGTAATAAAATATAGTTATTTTAATGTTCAAATATTCATTTCACTTTCATTTATTCGACTGACTGTATTGCGTCAGTTTGCAACTGTGTCCACGTGGGAATGTGTCTGATTGAAAATGTGTCCCGTTGAAATTGTGTCCCGTTGGAACTAAATCCTTGAAAGCTATAAGTCCAGTGAACCAGCAGTTGAAACTGGATGGTTTTCGAACTGTGACGGTTCTTCGATTTAAAAAAAAAGGGAATTAACTAGGCTCCACCCTAAACATTGAATTGATACTTCTAAGGAAGCTGAAAAAATTTCATATTTTTTTTAACCGACTTTAAAAAAAGGAGGTGGTTATAATGTTCGGCTGTATTTATTTTCTATGTATGTCAATATGTATAGTTCCAAAATACTGAACTGTCCTATGCATGACATTGACAGTGGGGCGCCACGGTCAATACCGGATCGCTGGTTCCGATTTTTGCCATGTTGGAAACCATATAGTTGAACGATGGTAGCGCCCCCCTGTCATTGAGTTTGGTGGGACAGTTCAGCGTGGGTCATCTATATGTTCACCGATTACTCCGTCAATTTTGGAACGATTTTCAAAATTCTTTTTTTGTTCGATAGACTACACTTCTGAGGTGGTCCCATTGTCACCAAGTCCGGTGCCGGTAAATTTAGAACATTTCTTGAGTTTGGCATTGAGCAGGCTGGCACCGACTCCGAGAATATCAGTCATGGTATACATTTGTCCTAATAAATAAATAATGTAATTATTTTCAACTTTTTAGTACAGGTTTTTTTGGAGTCGGTTTTATTTACGACCTCGAGTATTTCCCCTTTCTAGGAATAGGTCGGGTATCCTGTATTTAGTGAAAATCGCATAAAATCTTTTCAGGTAAGGTAAGAAGACATCGCGACATCAGACTGACGTGGTTGCGGCGTGGGTGGAGGACTTTCTTTTATAATATGAAGGAAAATATTAGGAGCAATACGTAGTCTGGGGAGAACTACAATAGTCAAAACGTCAGGCGTCTATCTCAAAGAAAACGTTTCTAGTAAGAACTGACAGTTTCCTCGCAGGTTGACTGGTAATTATTGCTTATTGGCATAAAGTTCGTCATTTTAGGGTAACTTCACCACATGTGAATAGGTAAAAAATATTTCTAGGGTGATATTGTATGGACGGACGATTGTCTATCGGGTCAGCAAGATAAAGTTAAGGCATATTTATTATGTATTTATTTCCTTAATACATCAAGGTATAAAGACATCAGAGTTACAGTTGAATTGGAATGTTCTCATGTTGTACTACTTCATAAAAGAGAGAATGCAAATATTACCTACTATGGAGTAGAAATGTAATCCTCGTACAATGGATTCATATCAGTTACAATAATGTAAATATAGTGAATTATACTGATCATTCAGGCGCGAATCCCGTGTGGGCACGAATGGCATGCCCACTACCCTAAGACTCGTGACGTCACACTGTCACAGTCTATTAGATCCAGGCTGATAATAGGCTAATGAATTTGATCCAATGCCTAAAAGAAATTTGGACGTTTTCGCGAAAAATATTTTTTAATTAGAGTTAGCACCAAAATATTATTTTTTTTGAAGATCCGCGCCTGTTATCAATTTAACTTCATCAGATTCTACTAAAGATTGATTAAAACACACACAGATTTTGGTTAACATTACAATGTATAATATAACTGATCAGCCAGGCGCGAATCCCCTATTTTTGAAAAGACTCGTGACGTCACACTTTCACGGTCTATTGAGATCCATAGGCTGATGAATTTGATCCAATAACCTTAAAAAAAAATATTTAAGATCCGCGCCTGTGACCAATTTAATTTCATCGGAATTCTGTAGATTAAAACACACATATTCTGGTACGCACAGATAAAGTTCCATAATTGATTTCGGGTAATCGCTGAGTATCTTAAAAGTTATAATAAGTTAAGTATAAAAACTCAGTATTGGTTAAAATATTTAATCGTCGTCAAGCTTCTGCCTGGCGTTGCGGTTGCCGATCTTGCGGCGCTTGAATTCGACGGGCTCGTCGGGGTCTCCGAGGGAAGTCACGCGGCGCTCCCCAAACTTGATCTCTTCGGGCTCCACCACTACTGGTGGCGGCGGTTGCTCTTTGGTTTTTGGCAGCTGGAGATCTATTTTTTCAGGGCTGGAAGAAAAGGTTCAAGGTTAACATTAGGTTGGCGGTATCTCAGTATTAGCTCGTGGAACCCTAAACCTAGCAGCAAACTACAGACTTTTTGTCCGCTGGTAGTTAATCAGTAGACTTAGTTACAGACTTGGACGTGAATGAAAGTGCGCACATTACACCGATTCGGTATCGGCCGATTCTTCATACAAATTAGAAGCGGGCCCCAACTATCGGCCAACTAAAATTTGTAGTCTGGTGGGTGTCTGAGGTGAAACTACGGTAACAATGAAGAATGTTCACTAATGTTTTGTTTTTTAGCTTTCTGTATTCTTTGTTGAAAATAAAAAATACACTTGAAAGAATTATTTCGATACGTCAATTAGTTTCCAAGATATTTAATTTTAAAGGTGCGGGCGCCATGCGCGTGACGTCATTGTACAAGAACTGGCTCAAAGTTGGTATGGGTGGAATCTTGCAGCTGAATTGCGAGATACCTATAAATGCTACAGCTGATAACTAGCGACTGAGCGGACGATGTAAAAGTACGTCACACACATCNCATGGGGTGACGTGACCGTTGGCGGGACTCGATATTTATGCGAACTTTGAATGCCTATAAAATCATAACTACTTGGTATTTTTGAATGAAATAAAAACAAATGAATTTGTATATGTAAAAGGTTTCAACTGATTATGTACACCTAGTAACATTCTCAATTTAGGTTTAGGTTTAAAGACTTTATTCTCATAAGAAAATTATACATAGTTCACTTACAATAAGATAAATATAATAAATATTATTTAATTTAACATTTTGGCGCAGCACAGCATTATAAAAGTAAATAATACAAACAAAACAAAACAAAGCGAGTCTAAACAAAAACAAAGCGAGTTCTATTGTCTCGATTCGCTGGTACTTGAAGGGTTAAGCATAACTCCGCCGAAGTCGAAAATGTTGGCAACAAATGAAGCCATTAAAACAATAACACCTTTTGTAGGAGTTCAATCCGATTTCGCTAACGCGCATCTTCTGCCGAGTTATGCGCTCGTTCAACTGTCAGCACTTGTCAACTTACGCAGGGCGAACAGGCGACCAGGAGGTTGGCGGCGTAAGGCGTGGGCGACGTGGGCCACCGCCTACGGCCTCGCGGTACAAGGGGCCTCGCGCCTCAAAAAAAATGTTTTTTAATATTAATCTAATTTGTATTTTTATGAATAAAAACTTGTCAGTGTTCATTGTTTTTTTATTATTACTTTTTTTATAATTCAGTTCGCCACAGAACAAGGCCTCGCGAAATCTGTCTTGCCCACATCAAATTTTTTTCGTCCAAATTACCTCAATGCCTGAAGACTAGAGTGTATAACCAATGTGTGTTACCAGTGATAACTTATGGCTCGGAAACGTGGCCTCTCACTATAGGCCTTATACAGAAGCTCAAAGTTGCACAGCGTGCTATGGAGAGGGCTATGCTTGGTGTTTCTTTGCGAGATCGAATCAGAAATGAGGAGATCCGTAANAGGTCTTGCCCCGCCACTGACCAGGAGAGGTAGGACTGGGCGCGGGGCGTGAGCACCAGCCCAAATGCTTCTCCCTCCGCAAGTAGGTACTCAAATATCTCCCGAGCGATGCGCGCCCTCTTCGCTAATTCGCTCCTACCCCTATTGGTCGTAACGTGAAGGTATTATATTCTACATCGTTCAATATATTGGGCTATCCAACACAAAAATATTTTTTTCAATAAAACCAGTAGTTCCTGACTTTAGCGCGTTTAAACTTCAAGCCTGGTAGTAACGAGCCATTGGTCGTGGTCAATCACGTCAATCTTTTTCTTCTATACAGGTTGTCCCGTAAAGAGCGTGCCAAACTTATGGAGATGATAGATCAATGGATGAACATCTGTACAAAAAAATGCTTTAGTAAAAGTATCACCATTTCTTAGATATGATTTTATTTCATGTTTTTTTTTAATCCCTAAATGGAGCCTATCTCTTGTTGCTCTGCTCTGTGTACACATAAGTAAATAATTTTTAAGATGAATAAGAAGAAGAATAAGAGGAATATCTGCTCATTTGTACGCACAGCAACAAGAGAAAGGCTCAAAATTGAGGATTAAAAAAACATGAAAAAAAATCGTATCGAAAATAACAATACTTTAAAAAGAGATTTTTTTATAGATGGCCATCTATTAGTCTATCATCTTCTTAAGTTTGGCAAGCTCTTTACGGGACACCCTGTATATATAAAAGCGAAATACCACTCACAGATTAATCACGAAATCTCAGAAACAATAATATAGATGACCCACGCTGAATGTCCCACCAAACTCAATGACAGGGGGGCGCTACCATCGTTCAACTATATGGTTTCCAACATGGCAAAAATCGGAACCAGCGATCCGGTATTGACGGTGGCGCCCCACTGTCAATGTCATGCATAGGACAGTTCAGTATTTTAGTACTATAGCTACAAACTTGAAATTTGGCAGGTAGGTTCCTTAGGTAGTTTTTTACGAAACTACACCTAAGGGGGAAAAACGGGGTTTACGTTTACGAAGTCGCGGGCGCCCGCTAGTAAAGTACCTATACGTATATTTTCTACTTTGTCGAGCATAACCTCGAGAACGGTTTGTCCAAGTTATAGAATTTGGTCTTATTCGATGCAGGATTAAATGCCCTTCAACTTTCATGAGATCAATATTCTATTCAATATACATATATCAATACTGTAAGTCCTTTATTTACGAGATATTATCTCGTAATATTATAATCGTAAAACCACAGATTACTAAAGTTACTATGTAACATATACATCACTTCTTAACAAAACGGCAAATACTACGATTTATTTTCAAACTGTCAAGCGATGCGAGGAAAAATGAACTCAACGGTTTTAAGACAACAGAGCGTAATGATATTATTTTATGAAATGGTCAATTTGTGTTTTACCTTCTTGCATTGGTACTAGTACTTTGCATTGGTTAACTTGATAACAGCAAATAATCTGAATCACGCCCCTCTAGTCACTTGTACATTCGAAGTTCGAACGTACGGCTAAGCGGTAGGTTCTTATCGCACGAACTTGAGCGAGTGACGGAGGCCTGATAAAATCACAAAAATGCCCCTTTTGGGGGCCCACATCACTTAAACACAACTTCAGAACTTGAAAACCTAGGATAGTCTTATTGGGCAACAAATAAAGCCAATAAAATAATAAAACATTTTGTAAGAATTAAATCCGATTTCGATATCTTCTGCCGAGTAAGACTAGGCGCAGACCACCGATTTTTTGTCGGCCGATAGTTTAATAGTTAATCAGTATGGGCATGTATGGAAATGCGCACATTACACCGATTTGGTATCGGCCGATTCTTCATACAAATTAGAATCGGGCCCACTATCGGCCAACTAAAAGTCGATGGTCTGCGGTGCGCCTAGGCTAAAGCTTCAGCCAAACCAACGCGTGCAAATCGCGTTGGCGATGGCGATCACTGCGCGTGCAGAGGCTAATGACAGAACGCGCGTCCTGTCCTGTCATTGGCCTTTTATGCGCGCATTCACCACTGTCAGCAGTTCAGTTCTGCTGGCCCCCTAGACAAAATGCACTTTTTGATCGAATCGAAAATCGAATCTGTCAAAACTCCATATAAAAAAGGGCTTTTCGACCATTTTTCGACTGGTTTGCGATTATAATTTGCACTTTTTCTAGACCCACAGCACTTCTCATCCAACTTACAGAGAGCGAAGAGGCGTCCAGTCGCCTAAGGGCCGGGTTCGGGACACGGGGCCCACAATGGCCTTCGGGAGCTGATTGACAGGCGCGGGCACCGCAAGCTCGCGCATCTTCTCCCGGGCTATGCGAGCATTCACCTCCTTCAAGACTTCTTGACGTTGCGCCTCACTGTGAACAAGCATACATAAATGAATGAAGNAAGCTAGTACTACGGGTACTAGACAATGGTTATTGTATTTGTGTCTCTTATGTCGGTTTTTTCTAAAGTTGGAAGAATTTAAGCTTTTGTGCAGTAATATATTTTATAACACAAGAAACTGTATGCTTAAAAGGAAACGCTTAAACCTGTATCTTATTTAAGCAAATAAATAAACATTGTGCATTTGTATTTTTGTAAATTATTGGTATTAAAAGCTTTGGCGCACACAATTTGGCGGTGCAAAAATAATATGTTACATTAATTTGGACTTTATAATATGATAGAAAATAATATTTAAAATTATGTACCTACTAAATATTCAGGAACCCAAGCACAAGCTTCGCTTAGTTCAACACTAGATGGCATTGTGTAAAATGTTCAAATGAAATTGTCTAAGTGCATTCTCAAGATACTTACTTCTGCCTTGCCTTTTCTCTTTCTACTTTATTTTGTTTTTCTTTTGATCTTTGTTGTTCTTCTATGCTTACATATTCCCCATTAGGAGGACAATCCCAAGTAGTCTCTGTAATGAACACAATACTTTTGTGACATTTGCTTCCGTGGTTTAGTGTTCAAACTTATAACAGAGTACCGAGTTCATTCTATTTGCCAATATAGTTGAAACTTAGGGCTGAATCAAGACTTTCTTTAGATTAGTGTGATCAAGCAATGGCGGAAGCAGTTTATTGAATCTGGGTGATTATAGTCCGCAAAATAGAAAGAGCGAAAAATGTTTTATTCAGCGACACAATTCTCAAAACATGAATAAAACCAATAATTAAGTTAATGACAAGAAGTGTGTCACCAAATAATAGATGAAAACTACACTTAAAAAGTAGTTATAATTTTTGTACACTTACTATGTGATACAACATTCCAGTAGTATGACATTCCATTGGGAGCCTTGACTTCAACCCACGGAGGTGGAGTCTGGCAGCCTACAGAGATGTGGGCAGAGCAGGTTGGTTCTTCAACAACTATGGGTTCATTGGTGTCGCTGTTCTTTCCCAGCATTTCATTGATATTCTGAAATTAATATTAAACTTAATTAATAAGTATACAAACATGTTACATACTATAAATCCCCAGTATTTTTTTTGCATGATAATAGCAACTTTTGTAACTATACTATTTTTTTTTAATTTAAAGTTCTTGCCATAGCAAAAAAAAATCTGATATGTGTCACATTTCAAGTTTTTTGGACTTGACTGGTTAGACATTTTTTCCAAGCCAATGAACTAAAGGTGGTTTTTTAGCAGGGTTCGAGGATATATATCAAGGGATATATATCAAGATTTTGAAGAAAAAAAAGAAGCCGGTTTTGATGATATATATCAACTTTTAAAATTTGTTACTGTATTTGTACTTTTTGACATAAGATTTTTATTTTTTTTTGATGATTTGGCCGTATTTCAAAGATATTTTATGTTTTTGCTTTATTTGTCTGATTTTAAGTTTTAAAAACATTAAAAACATGTTTATGTAGCACATATGCAATAGTATTCATGAATAATGCAATAAAATAATACTTTGGCTTTCATACAAAATTGATATATATCAAAGTTGATAAATATCGGATATATATAAATATCCGATATTTTGATATTTTAATAAATATCGGATATTTTCGAACCCTGTTTTTTAGTTTATTGGCTTTAAAGCGACAATTTAAATCAGCTTACTTTAGAAGTCAGGTCTGCATTATTTTGCACATCTTTGAGGTATGCTGACATGGCAGCAGCCTCCATCTTCTTGATGTCATCATCCATTTTTTCCTTCTGCTTAAAATCTTTGGCACTCTTTTTGCTGAGTTGTGAGATATGCTTTTCAACATTCTCTTTATGGCGCTTGCCATTTTCATGGAAAGATATTGACTGAAATGAAATTGTTATAGATAGTCTAATAAAGTGATTTGTTCATTAAAACATAAAATATACACAGCACATCTAGTATAAAATATTTTAGCAATAAAGGAAGCAATTCACAACTACATGCTGAAGCATAATGCAGGTTACGGACCAAGAGCTAAATAAATAAGTACATTTGTATAGTTTGCACACAACTGTGGAAAACTGCATCAGGCAAACAAGCTAAGCTAAACTAAAGTCCGGTCGCCGAGCAGATGGAATTTCGTCCAATGACAATGATGGGTAGTTTGGGGTCACTGGACAAAATTATATCTGCTCGGCGACCGGACTTTAACTTAGCTCAGCTCTTGGTCAGCAACCCACAGGGTTCAGTATAAAACAGAAGGGAAAACTCTAAATAACTAATATTAACTATTTCTTTCAAGACTCATTACCTACAAAGTTCATGTTTTTAAATATCAATATCCAAGCCTTATCAGTAAAGCAGAATTTTGTTGCACAGAAATGTACTTTTTTTAAACAGCAATATAATTATATGCATAGTTATTATGTTATAATATCGCTTATTGCTTAAGACTTACAACTTTGTTGTCAGCAAACCAGCATTTACAGAATTCACAATATTTTCTAGCCTGAGATTTCCAGTATTCCGTCCTAAAACAAACAGTGAGAAAGGAGAGGATCAAGCAAATTAAGTTTTTTTAAGCTCACCAACTACCAACTAGACTTATTATAGATTACAGGGACTTGTAGTTTATTAAACAACATCAACAATATTTTGGTTGGAACATTAACTCAATGACTACCGCTTGGAGTACATCACATGCCTGGAAATTAAAATAATGCTTAAGCTTTCAACTTACATTGTTACTGTTTAATACAATCTAATGTATCGCGATATCTTATTCTTTTTTGGATGTATCGTGAAAGAAATTATCGATCCGAGCATGAAAAACAAATTTTCGTCGTCATGAACCCATGAACCAGTCATGAACTGTCATGAACCATAGAGAAAAGTAATACATAGGAAATAGAGAACCCACTCTGTCAAATTTTTGAGCCTACTAATTGACAGCCTGGTGTTAAATTCGCTGTACTTAACCTACGTACGTAACGCTCACATACACACATAGTACACGCACACATACATACATAAAGTCCACGCATACATACACACAGTTCACGCACACATAGGCCCTCATAACCTTCAAAGAATTATTGTTTTTTTGATGTACAATGTAGAATTTTTTCAAATCCATTATTTTGAAAGTATTTATCTTTATGGTGTACGTATTGTATTATTTTCAAAACAATGGATTTGGAAAAATTCTACATTGCACATGGAAATGCAAATAAACAAAAACTTTTCAATTTAATAATTTTACTTTATTTATGAACACACATAATATTATACACCAAAAGCGTCTTTTCGCAAAGTTTTCAACAACACTAAAAAAGCATTTGCACTTTGAGAAAACTCAGATCACTTGTTAACATAACAGAAAGTTTCTTCGCGATTCACGAAGGAACGAACAACACACACACACACACACACACACACACACACACACAAAACCTGTCATTTCCTATATTGCGGCCATGTTGTTTTCTTAAAGTGTGTACGTAATGTATGTGTCAGCGGCAATTTGTATAATTTAGGAATTCTATACAATCCCTAGTCAATGTGTAAAATCAATGCCTGGGGCGCGATAATATATATCAGGTGTATGTAAAATATTATTGTTCAATAAATACTTTACCTAGGCAGTAGACCTAAGAACCTAAGATGCGCGCCGCGATAAGCGGTTATCACGCTATTTTATCGATTTTGCCCATACATTTTGACGTCGATAAAAGTTATCACGGCGCGCATCTTAGGCCTACAGGTGTATGTAATTCCTAGGCATTGTATAGAATACCAGCTGTGAGCTGGCCCACCGGTAATGTGTAAAGTAAGCAGATTTTGACTTTGATCATTATTATTTATGTAGATACGGTTAGGGTGTAGAAAAGGGAGTGCAGGACTTAGCCGAATAACCGAATTTTCGAACGTAATTTGTATGGAGCTGACACTTAGAAAAAAATTGACGGATTTAGTATGGAGTTTAAACTTTTTAGAGTAGTAAAGGGGGTAGGGGTCATTTTAAAAAATTAACTGAATTACAGAATACTAGGTTAGGATTTATTTTTCCAAGGTAATCCTGAAGTAGCCTAAATAGCCCGATCTTATTTTCTAGGTAGCCTAAATGGCTACCGGTAGCCGTTTGCATTTTTTGGTCGCCATTTGACCCCCAGAGGTAGCCTAAATGGCGATAATTCGCCTAATCTGGCACCACTGCTGGTCGCAAAAATATGTGCATTGCTAGTTTGGAAAAAAATCACGATTTTTTCAGTCAGAATTTTTTGGATTTTTATTGATTATTTTGATTTTTATTCAGTTTTGCGATCATTGCTTTAGTTTTTCTTGGAAAGCATTTTTATTTAGGTAGAATTGATGTATAGTGCTGGCAACACCGCAAAAAAGTAAAATGTCACATAGACCAAAAAAATGTTTAGAGGTTATGTCATGTCAAGTTAGTTCAAGATTGTTATTGTTTTTATTTATTCTCGACACTCTTTCTATTCAAGTAACTAACTTAGTAACTTTCAAAACATGAGTGCTGTAAGAAAAAAAGACCCTATTTGGGATAGATATCTCGAAATTTCCAACGCCCTCGGAGACAAAACTGGGTGCAGGACCCAGTGCAAGAAATGTGGAAAAGAAATGAAAGGGTTGGTACAAAGAATGAAAGAGCATCAGAAAAACTGTTTATATGAACAAGGTAAAAGACTTCAAAACTAATTAGACTTCCTTTCAATAATGTTTGAGTTTTTAAATAATGAATAATTCGTATTGCACTGTTTTCACTTAAATGTGCTATTGGTGTGCTGCTGTATATGTGGCCTTGACTTTTTTGCACTAAAGACATTTATCAAAATTTTTTTTAGATCTAACGAAGAAAATTTACCGTCGACCTCAGGCCAAGGTCAAGGCGCCAATAGAGGCAGAGGTGCTGAGGATCCGTAAGTATCTATATCTGTAATCACTTACTATGGCCCTTTTTAGTGTTTGTTGCGTATGTGTTTAAGTAACAGGTACGAAGGTGAGCTGTATAATTATTTTGTTTTTGCAGGGAAGCACTTCTTACGGTCAGAGCCGCCCGACAAGTTTCGCAAAGACATTTTGCGAACTTGTCGGCGGCCGACAAAAAGGAGCTGCAGCGAGTGCTCCTTCCCGACGCGCCTCCGCGCAAGCGACGTACTTTTTAAGTACCTACCTTTTTTGTATTTTACCTTTATTTGAATGTGCTAGATCAACATGTAATTACTGATTTTTCTGTATAGAAATGCTTCTCCTGAGAGGGAGCTGCCGGAAGTAGTGGATCCACTACAGCCATCTACTTCGTGGCAACCTACGCCGCCTCTACAAGTGCCGGCTGACGTCGAGTTTGGTAAATATCATATTATTATTGCGTGCCCACTGCCACTGCAGTGCGCCAAACTTGTAATATTACTAACATTTATCATTTTTATACAGTTAACGAGGAGATCGGAGACAGCTCCAGGGACCCGACGCCGCCTCTACAAGTGCCGGCTGACGTCGAGTTTGGTAAATATCATATTATTATTGCGTGCCCACTGCCACTGCAGTTATTGCATACCGAAAATAAAACCTGTTAATAAAATAAAAAATAATAATATGTAAATAATAATCAGTTTTATTTAACACTGTTTAAAAAATCTTCAGCATAAAAGTAAGTTTAATTGTCACAAAATATTATGGTCATAAACCTATAGATTACGTTTAGAATCACAGATGCGCAACTGCATTAATCAGTCAATATTTAGAACACACTAATAGTCTAATGTGATAAAAAGTAACTCTAAAATTGTTACAAAATATTATTATTTAAGAATGATAGATACGTAGTTTTTATTTGTTTGTATTGGACTGGGTGTTTTCTACGTATAATAAGTATGTATTTACAAAAAAAAGTATTTAAGTATGTTTATATCCGTTGTCTAGTACCCATAATACAAGCTTTGCTTAGGTTGGGACTAGAAGCGCAGTGTAAAATGTCTAAGGATATTTATTTATTTATTTTATTTATTTAGTTACATTAATCAGCTGTTGATTAACAATAAAAGTAAGTTTAACTGTCACAAAATATTATGGTCATAAACTTAAAGATTACTTTTAGAATCACAGATGCGCAATTATTAATAAGACTCCTGTAAACGATTACACTGCTGAAATGCTGACAGATTTTCTACTTGTTTTGAAATTACTTCATAATAGCAGGCGTCGCTGAGCAGTGTGTTTAACAACTCTATGATATTCGGTTGCTTTTTTTTATTGTTTTATTAAGCTTTTTGTGCCATGCCTCAAGCATATTAGTAGTCCGGTGTCTCTCTCCGAATACGCACCAGATTGGAATAAACTCGTCTCGTAACCACTGACTGAGCATTTGCGGAAAAGCTTGCTTTTTCCATCGTCAGGGCTCTGGGCAGCTATGTACCACCAACCGTTAAAAATTTGATTTTGTCAAGTGTGCTGTACTGCCTCATTTGCCTCAAAATCAATTTTTTAATAGTAGGTAGTCTGTAAAAAAAAGTCAATTGATTTTGAACTCTATGTGTGAGACATAAGGTTGAAAATAGTTTAAATACATTTTAATATTGAAAATATCATAAGAAGAAAGCACTAAATAAAGAACTTTAATTTGTCTAAACGTCTTAAATATTATTATTATTTTAATTAACACTTATTTCTACATACTATTGTACCAGTGATTTAACGGAAAGGTAAGTGTGAGGAAAATGAAGTTTCACGATCATAGTACGGGAGATATTTTTAGCACAAAGGTTACGGCTGTGACCTTTTTAGTTGTTTTTTTCAGACAGCACCAGCTTCTGCACTACTTCTTGCACTTACATCTCACCATTTCCAGGCAAGCCTCGGCAGCTACGGGCAAACCGGTCTATGTAGGCTCCATCTTGCTATCGGCTCTGGTCCACCTCCAACCAGTCGGGTAAAGGGAAGACTGAGTCGGTTGCTTGTAACTAATGCTTGGCACCCGGGGCGGGCCGCCCCGGGTGCCAAGCATCAGAGGGTGACACATGTCGCACAGATTAGTACTCACTGGCGCATCTGCATAGCAAGTCTGCGGTCTATGTCAATGTCTTCAATCTTGGAATCGGTAGGTAACCCCAAAATCGTGGGGGTTACCAGGGGATGCCTTAGGACTTACGCCGCCACTGCAAAGATGGCCTTGGGAACGGGAACGGGCGTCTACTGTAAGCACTTCGAACATAGTGAACGCTNTGAAGTTTTAAGTGTAGAAGACACAAAACAAAAGTAATTGTCCTTGCACGGTTAGGACTCCAGCAGCGTTAAAAGCTGCGAAGGCGCGAACTCAAAAAAATCCCATGCGTTAGCAGACTTTGCCTGCCCTGGAGGTAGGCTTAAGCACAACCAGGGTGAAATTGGTATTTTGAAGACTCAAGGCTTCAAACTTTTTGAATAAAAATAAAAAAATCACTTAGATGCGCGTTTAAAAGACCTGAGATTGAAGAAATCCCACGTTTTGCTTAAGCGGTACGCGGGAAAAAAGTACCTTGAAAAATATTTTTCGAATGTTTTTTTTACCATGGAGGAGAGTTACAAAAAAACAAAATGGTAAATTGGATGCGTACATCAATAAAGAAGCACCAGCTTAATTTTGGCTGTCCAGCTAGGCCAGCTTATATCGTCACTCAAGTTTTGGTAACATGTCTCAAATTTGGGCTTTTTTGAGGTATTTTTTGCATGAAAAGCATAAAAACGAATGCCATTCTGTATCAAAATTCAGTTCTCACAAAGCTTATGGAACCTTTTTCACATATCATACTCAATAACAGACACTGGGAGTTCCAGCAGGATTCTGAGCCAGCTCATAGAGCGAAAAGCGCGCAAAAC